CTGAGCTCCTGGGATCACACTCTGAGCTCCTGGGATCATTCTGAGCTCCTGGGATCACACTCTGAGCTTCTGGGATCATCATTCTGAGCTTCTGGGATCATCACTCTGAGCTTCTGGGATCCCTCTGAGCTCCTGGGATCATTCTGGGCTTTTGGAATCACACACTGGGCTTCTGGGATCACAGTGAGCTCCTGGGATCCCTCTGAGCTTCTGGGATCCCTCTGGGATCATCACACTGAGCTGCTGGGGCTGTGGCAGGAGCAGAGGGCAGGGAAGGGTGCTGGTCATGTCTGCCCCATGCTCCCACCCCTGCAGGAGCTGTTGGGAACAGGAGCATTCCTGATCCAGCAGGGATGGATCAGGATGGATCCCTTCCTGATCAGGCAAGGAAATGGAGTTTTCAACTATGACCATGCCATAGATGCAGGACACAGAACTTCAGCCCTGGTTTTGGAACCTAAAATTTAATTTCTTTTTTTCCAGTTACTTCCATGCCTTGAGAAAGTGAAGACATTTTCTGTCTCAGGAGAGGGCAGCCAAGCGATGCCTGTCTGTCTGTCTGTCTGTCTGTCTGTGTCTGTCCTGGGGCTGTTTCCAGCAGGGACAGTGGGGACACACCTTTGGAGTTTTTCACCTTTGCAGGAGCACTGGAGTGAAACTGGGCCAGGGAAAAGGGCAAGGGAGGAGAGGGCAGGACAGAAAAGGGGAGAAAAGGGGAATAAAGGGGAGGTCAGTAAAGAGAAGGAAAGGTGGAAAGAAAAGGAAGGAAAAGGAAGGACAGGGAAGGATGTGATGGGTAAAGGGGATGAGAGCACTGGGAAAACAGGAAGGAAAGGGGAGGAGAGAAGGAAGACATGGAAAGGGGTCATTTCCATGCAGGCAGAGACAGCTCTTCCTTCCTGCCCTGCTGTGTTATTTCATCTACTCTTTATTACACCTTGAAGCTGGGCAGGTTTTTTCACACAAACTGAGTTCAGAGCACCCCAAGGGTGCTCAGTGGCTGCTCTGGTGCTTCACATCATCTCCTCATGGGTGGTTACACGCCCCAAGCTCTCCATCCATCCCCTGCAGTGCCCCACACAGCAGTGAGAACTGCTCCCTGCTCTCCCTCCCCACCTTTGGCAGCCCAGGATTTTACAAGAGCTCAGAAGTGGCTTCATTCTAACCTTCAGCAGCAAAATATTCTCATGAAGGGACTTCACCTTCAATTTATTTTACCTTTTAAAAGGTTTACTTACATTGAATCAAAAGGTTTATGAAGTCACACTTTAAAATGCAGCTTTTAAATACTCAGCAGCAGAATTGTGTTTCCATACCCAAACCTGGCACCTCCAGGGAGTAAATGTGACACTGAGGGCTGCAGTTCCTGTGGCTCAAGGTGTTTAAAGCACTCATTGCTCCCTCTTCAGTGTGGTCACAGTTAATGAGACAAATACCAATGTGCTGTACAACATCAGGGAAACAATTGCTGGTTTTTTTTATTTAGAAGTTTAGTTCTCAAGATATTGTGAAGTCCAACAAGCTGGTAATCTCCTCTCCCCCCACCCTTCCTCCACCTGAGGGAAGGAAAAATCTGAAGTGAAATGTTCAATTTCCAAGGCTGCTCACTTCAACTACTTCAAAAACAAGTCAGAAAAGAGGCTTTGAGATGCAGACTGTGAATGTAGAACTGAATCTTCCCTGTATTATTTACCAAAATACAATTTTTTTTGTTAAAAAAGAGGCTGACATTTCAGTGCAAGACCAGGTCTCCTGTATTTACCTGTATTAGTGAGTTAAGAGGAAAAAAAAAACCAACAAAAAGCCCACCAAACAACCCAACCAATGCCCCCATATCACAGTGTTAATGCACCCTATTCATGGTGTTAAAGCTCTAAACCACAGGACACCTGTGCTCCAAAAGCTGAAATTAATTCTTGATTTTATTTTTTAAAGGTTTATCTACATTCCTGTACTGTGAAAATCAATTTTCTCAAGGAAAAAAAAAAGAGAGAGAGAAGGGCTTCTGTCAGGTAGTGCAGTATGACTCAGTAGAGCTCCTTTAATTTCTTTACACAGTAAACAGACTCATATTTATACCAACACCCTCTGCAGTTGTATTTACATGACACTTGTACATATATACATGTTAGCAAAATACAGGGCTTCTCCCAGACCCAAAGCTGTGGCAGCTACACCTCTGGTGTACAACTAGTGCTTAAAAAAGAAAAGCCACCTCTTTTGTTTTCTCTAAATACTAAAATTATATTTTTTCCTTCTCTAGTCACACAGTCCTGGCTCCAGCCTGGTACTTGCAGCTCTTTCTGGCAGTGAGGAAATGGATTTTCAAGAGTCCAGCTCGAGATGCTCTTGATTTTCACTAAGTCTCAGCATCAGCTGCTGCTCATAATAAAGGCTCTTTGCATAGTTGATTTCTTGGGACACCTTTACTGCCAGAGCTTCTGATTTCACTTTCACCTGCAGAAAGAAAGGGGATTTTTCTTAATGTGCTCCTGCTGTCAGCTAAACAGAGTAGATTTTAGATTTGAGGTAAGGGACAGAAAGGTTTCACTTAGGCTGGAGCAAGCAGGAGGGTGAGGGAGCACCAGGTACACACACAGATATTCAGGAACACGGTGCCACATCTGAGGGCATTTCCTTTGCCTCCCCTCCCACCTTTTATCTGGCTGCTCTGTTTGGAATGTGAATGCCCTGGGTCAGGGGTGAGCCTGTAAAACAGCCCCTGAGCAACTCCTGAAATGGCACAGAGCACAAACACTGCTGCCAGCACCAGAGCCCGCACAGGAAAACTGCTGTGGGGAGGAGGAGACTGAACAGACAGCAGAGTGCCCATGTGGCTAAAAGTTAAAAGCATTTCACAGGTAAATCCATGTTTCTGCCGGTTTCTGCCAGTTCTGTGCAGCCTGTGGGGATATTTTAGCGTTTTCCTTTCTTCAGCTTTCTCAGGAGTTCAGGGAGCCACTGAAACCTTGGCAGCAGCTGTTTCCAGTGCTGGCAGAACAAAGCCTGTGCCTAAATCCCTTTGCTCCCAGGGGCAGGGTGCCTAAATCCCTTTGCTCCTAGGGGAAAAGATGCCTAAATACCTTTACTCCCAGTGGGAAGGGTGCCTAAATCCCGTTGCTGCCAGGGGCAGGGTGCCTAAATCCCTTTGCTCACAGGGGCAGGGTGCCTCAATCCCTTTGCTCCCAGGGGAAAAGGTGCCTAAATCCCTTTGCTCCCAGGGGGGGCAGGGTGCCTAAATCCCTTTGCTCCCAGGGGGAAGGGTGCCTAAACCCCTTTGCTCCCAAGGGGCAGGGTGCCTAAATCCCTTTGCTCCCAAGGTGAAAGGTGCCTAAATCCCTTTGCTCCCAGGGGAAAAGATGCCTAAATACCTTTACTCCCAGTGGGAAGGGTGCCTAAATCCCTTTGCTCCCAAGGGGCAGGGTGCCTAAATCCCTTTGCTCCCAAGGGGAAAGGTGCCTAAATCCCTTTGCTCCCAAGAGGCAGGGTGCCTAAATCCCTTTGCTCCCAAGGGGCAGGGTGCCTAAATCCCTTTGCTGCCAGGGGCAGGGTGCCTAAATCCCTTTGCTCCCAGGGGCAGGGTGCCTCAATCCCTTTGCTCCCAGGGCAGGGTGCCTAAATCCCTTTGCTCACAGGGGCAGGGTGCCTAAATCCCTTTGCTCCCAAGGTGAAAGGTGCCTAAATCCCTTTGCTCACAGGGGCAGGGTGCCTAAATCCCTTTGCTCTCAGGAAGAAGGGTGCCTAAATCCCTTTGCTCCCAGGGCAGGGTGCCTAAATCCCTTTGCTGCCAGGGGCAGGGTGCCTAAATCCCTTTGCTCCCAGGGCAGGGTGCCTCAATCCCTTTGCTCCCAGGGCAGGGTGCCTCAATCCCTTTGCTCACAGGGCAGGGTGCCTAAATCCCTTTGCTCTCAGGAAGAAGGGTGCCTCAATCCCTTTGCTGCCAGGGCAGGGTGCCAGTGCTCACCATGGGCCGCTGCTGCGAGGNGGTGCCAGTGCTCACCATGGGCCGCTGCTGCGAGGGGCCGGGCATGGCCAGCCCGCTGCTCGTGCTCACTGCCTTCTTGGTGAGCTGGATGTAGACGTTGCCGTGGTCCTTGGACACCAGGCAGTGGTACAGGTCATCGTACCTGACCTCCAGGAAGATGCAGTCCCTGTCTGTGAAGTCTCCACTCTTCAGGAAGTACACGGCCTTGGAGGAGATGAGCACGCAGTAGCTGTCAATGTTCTCCACGGCGATGAAGCTGCAGTAAAGGAGAAAATATTGTTAGCTTAGAGCTAAAAATAGCAAATTAACAAGGGTCATCACCTGTTTGTGACCTTCAGAACGCCATCAGAAAATTTAGTGGTGCAACATGTACAATTCCTCTGTATTTCATTTAAATTGTTTGGATATGGAGCTTACGAAGGATGCTCTCACCTATTTATAAAAAGATTGTGCTGTAAATGAAATATTGGTGCAGCCTGCCTGGCCACCAGCTTTGGGCACTACAGGTACACATAAAAATGTCTTTTAGGAACAGTAATTTCCATGCTCTGGAGCACTGCAAATCCTAATGCTGAAGCTTAATTGCAACTAACTTCAGTAAATGAAATTGCTGTAAATGCTGTAAATGAAATATTGGTGCTGCCTGCCTGGCCACCAGCTTTGGGCATTACAGGTACACATAAAATGTCCTTTGACAAGGACATAGGAGCAGTAATTTCCTTGCTCTGGAGCACTGTAGTTCTGATATTTTCTGAAAAAATTTTTGTTTAAGATTTTTTCTCTTAGGAAGCTGAGAGACTTCAAGAACAAAATGCAAACATTGGTTATCTGCTGCTGTGGAATGCAACAGGTGCACCTGTGATTGGTCTCATGTGGTTGTTTCTAATTAATGGCCAATCACAGTCAGCTGGCTCTGACTCTCTGTTCGAGCCACAAACCTTTGTTATTCTTCTTTCTTCTTCTATTCTTAGCCAGCCTTCTGATGAAATCCTTTCTTCTATTCTTTTAGTATAGTTTTAATGTAATACATATCATAAAATAATAAATCAGCCTTCTGAAACATGGAGTCAGCTCCTCATCTCTTCCCTCATCCTCAGACCCCTGTGAACACTCACAGAGCACTGCAAGTCCTAATGCTGAAGCTTAACTGCAACAAACTCCAGTAAATCAAATTGCTGTAAATGCTGTAAATCAAATATTGGTGCTGCCTGCCTGGCTTTGGGCATTACAGCTACACATAAAAATGTCCTTTGACAAGGACTTAGGAGCAGTAATTTCCATGCACTGGAGCACTGCAAGTCCTAATGCTGAAGCAAATTGTAACTAATTCAGTTCCAGAGCTGGCACATGAAAAGTTTGCAGACATTTATGACAACAGCTATCCTGTAATTCTCCTGTGCTTCTCTGCTCCCCACCCACACCTCCCTGCCTTCAAAACCAAAATCAAGCTGAACCTGCTGCCAGGATCAGTAGCAGAAAAGAGAAATTAGCTGTTTAACAAGGGGTGAGAGGTTAAGCAGCAAGCAGGTTTCCCCAGGGAGATTAGGCTGAGTGATGAATAGGAAGAGGGAGAGAAGAGTGAGTTAGGAATATTGAGAGTTATGATGGCTGAAAAGAATAAATGTAAGGTGCAAAATGGAAATGAAAGTTGAACACACAGATGTTTCTCCCCCACTTCTGGTTTACAAATGAAATGAACCTCATTAGAGGGGCTTTTAAAAAGCTGAAGAATTCAGCATTGAATGTGGAATCATAGCTAAGCAGAGTAATAGAGCAGTGCTAAACAGAGTAAAAAAGCTCTGCCAGCAGCGCCCAGGGCTGACAAACACCTGTAAAGGAGGATTCTGCTGCTGTCAGGCAGGTTCCCAATTGCTGCCCCCTGAGCCACTGCTCACACAAACCTGCCTGCTGTCCTCACACCCTGCAGAATCCCCCACTGGCTCAGAAATCTGTGACCTCTGTCACCAACTCAGTGTTTCTGGTAAACAGAAGAGTTCCCAAATCTCCAAATGCACCCTTGGCTCTCCCAGTTAAATATCACTGCACACACAGGCTACTCTGATCTGTAGTTAAATAAACCCAGAGCTATAAAAGATATGTTAATAGCCAAAAATATGGCAAGAGGTCAGGCCATAGTTTCTTTTTGTGGTATAAAAGGATAACTGCAGTAATTCTGTATTCCAATCCTCTCAAAGACACTGCTCTGCACTTTCCCTCTGTGCCTTCACTCCCCTCACACCAACTCCAGCCCACACTGTCCCCACACTGTCATGTGCTGAGGACACAGCCTCAGTAAAAAGGGCCTGGAAAATGCTTTGCCCAGCTCTAAGCTTGGATGAAGCTCCAGGAAGATAAAAATCTGTGTTTCTTCAAGTAAAACAAACTGGGAGAAAAGTGGAGTTTGGCTTAGAGGAACCCAGGTGAAAGACAACATTAACAGAGCCCCAGACTCAGCACCTGCCCTGCAGTTTTCCATCAGAGCTCAAACACTTCAGGGTAAAGTTCTGCCTTTGAAATGAGTTAAATAGGATGGAGAGTGACATTTTTTATGAAGTGTCACAGAAAACTTAATTTGAACCCAGAGCAGCTGCAGAAGAACAGCCTGGTGCCCTGGACAGGCACATCAAACACAGTGTTAGAGGGAGGCAGCAGATCCAAGCAGGTCAGGATGCCACCAGGGCCACCAGGACACCCATGGGGACAAAGGGGGCACTGAGAGCTGCTCCCAAGCCCAGGGGATGCACTGGGCACTGACCAAGGGCTGCATTTGCTCTGAAAGAGCAGCACACGATGCATGAACTTCTCCTTAAAAGACTTTTACTGGTGGCATGTATATATTCTGAGGAATGGAAACAGAGGTCAGTGAGTTAATGGAGAAGCCCAGAAACATTAGCTAATTTGTAGTTCAGGCTCTACATTTTGTTCTAAGTTTGAGTCATGCACCACTACCTTTGCTCTTGCCAGCTGTTTCTTTTTTCTCAGTGTCAAGTTCTTAAAACTGGTATTTTTAACCTTTTCAGATATTACTGCAAGATACAACTTTTTTTTTTTTTTAAACCCATACATCTACACTATTAAAAATATCTCAAATTAATAAAATGAAAAATTAAACGAAACATGATCCAGTAGAACAAAGTAGAAGCAACCAGATCTCTGGAGAATTTGTGGGGTTCTTAACAACATCAGGAAGTAATTACACAATATTTTCCAGAAGTGAAACAGCGAGCCTAACTGGAAAAAAATGTGGAAACATTTAGTTAGAACAGTAGAGCAAGGTATTAAACCCCCTTTTATGGATTTAACTCTGAAGGAAAATATGCAAATAATCAGGTCTTCAAATGTGTTTCTGATTATGATACTAGGATAAAAGTCAGAGGCATAATTTTGTATTTATTTTCCATGACAAGAAACACTGTGTTCCTGCTGAATGATGTTTCTAATAGCCAGAGTCACAGTGAATGAACAGTGTGACTTGGTGACAAAGGCCACTGAAGGGCTATGGGCTACACCAGGGATTGGTTTTGGTCACAAATTGCTTTTTCCAGAGCCATCCTGAATAGGCACAAAGATCCTGAAAGGAGATGGAAACAGGATACCCCAAATGTGAACTCACAGGGTGACAAGTGGCAGACTGCAATCTCTTCCTGAGGCAGAACCTGCAGTGGCACATGGACACTGGTGACACTGGTGACACCAAGTGACCCTGCTGAGCCTGTACCCCCCTCTGGCAGCCCCACCAGCAGCAATTCTGACCCTGTGCCTTGGCAGATGCTCTGGTGGGTGACAGACACAGCATCTCACACCCTGCCCTGACACAGCTGATCAGTAACTATGGTGGAGATCAGGCAAGTGATGAATTCTGCATTTAGACCCCAATCCATCAAACTGATGTTCCTCCTGTAGAATCACAGAATAATTTGGGTTGGAAGAGCCCTCTGAGACCACCAAATCCAACTGTTCCCCCACCACTGCCCAGGCCAACCCATGTCCCCAAGTGCCACATCCACATGGTTTTTAAATCCCTCCTGGGATGGTGGCTGCACCATTGGAAGCTGTGCCAGGGCTTTATGACTTTCCATGGATAAATTTACCCCAATATCCAAGCTGAACCTCCCCTGGTGCCACTCCAGGCCATTTCCTCTCATCCTGTTCCCTGTTCTGTGGGAGCAGAGCCTGTCAGGGAGCTGTGGAGAGCCAGAAGGTCCCCATGAGCCTCCTTTCCTCCAGGCTGAGCTCCTCTATCCAGTGCTCCAGACTCCATTCCCTTCCCTGAGCACACTCCAGCTCCTCAGTGTCCTTGCAGTGGTGAGGGCCCAGAACTGAACAAGTGTTTCAGGCATGAAGACACGATGGCAGCAAACAGAACAGAAATGCTCAGAGGAGCAGTGGAAGTGGCTGGGTACTCACAACTCATCCTGGATGTTGTCTGTCAGCTTGAAGAGCTGCTCCTGTCCCTCTGCTTGGCTCTCCAGGTAGCGGGGCAGGAGCCCCTGGGGTCCCCTGCAGCACCGCGGCTTCCGCACTCGCTCGGCCTTGGTCCTGCAGCCAGAGAGAACACAGAAATCACCTGCTGCAGCTTCTCCTGCCACTGCCACTGCCTGCACACTGACTTCTAGGCTTCTTCAAATGCAAAGCCTTCAAAAATCCCAGGTCTGCAAAAGCACTTGGATCTGGAAGATGTGGTGTCTACTCACACATTTCTATGAGACGCAGAACCATACAATAATAAAAACAGAAGAACTTTATCCACAATGAAGTAGCTAAATTAGTAGGAAGAAGTGACCTAAGAAGTGCACAATCTCTTAAGGTTTTGGGATATATTTATCAGCAGTTTTACTGATTTGATAATTTATTCTTACTGCTCTAAAGAAAGTGTGCAAAAACCTAGAGAGGGCTCTCATCAATGACAGTGCCAGGAGATTGCAAACTCTATGGTTATGGAAATAGGAACATGAAGAAGTAAAATCCTCATTAATTAGGATCCCCATAGCAGGGTTTAACACACTTTACCCTTCTGTGTGGCTATTAAAAATGACAACAAGAAGGACACACACTTGTGGGCTGGCAGCTTCACACATTTCTATGAGACGCAGAACCATACAATAATAAAAACAGAAGAACTTTATCCACAATGAAGTAGCTAAATTAGTAGGAAGAAGTGACCTAAGAAGTGTACACTCTCTGAAGGTTTTGGGTTGTATTTATTAGCAGTTTTACTGATTTAATCATTTCTTCTTACAGCTCTAAAGAAAGAGTGCAAAAACCTAGAGAGGGCTCTCATCAATGGACAGTGCCAGGAGACAGCAAACACCATGTTTATGGAAATAGGAACGTGCAGTTAAATTAGGACAGAAGAAAAATCCTTATTAATTAGGGTCCCCATAGCAGCGTTTAACATATTTTACCCTTCTATTAAAAATGTCTATTAAAAATGACAGTAAGAAGGACACACACTTGTGGGCTGGCAGCCATCAGAGGTTGATATTGGCCACAGCACTGCAGAACTGCAGGCTCGGTTCCTCCCTTAGCAGAATTTTGTTAAAAAATAATACTCTGAATTCCTTCAAGCTCCTGGAACGCCCTGCCCCTGAAGAATTGTGTTACAGGCTGCTGAACCCTGCCTTATTCCCTGTCCCTTCCCAGCAGCATCACTCTGGGGCTGCTCCATGCTATTTCACAGCTCCTCCAGGCTACTGCTGTTACAAATTTCCCAGCCAAACGCACCATTTTGGGTCAGTGCTCTCCCTTCCCACCCTGACTCTTTGTAAAACCCTGCACAAGGAACTCCAGCCTGTGTGATCCAGGGACAGAATGAAGGTCCCATGGAGCACTACCCTGCTTTTCAAGCTGCCCACCATCAGGAGAGAGCACTCACCTGCTGGGGTCCATGCTCTGCAGATGTTTTCTCTGGAGCCTCATTTCCTTGTCACCTCTCCCCCTCAGCAGCCCTGACCCACATCTGAAGCCTGGGCACCCTTTTAAAAATTGTTTTCCTTCAAGTTTTTGACAACTCTTAATGCAGTGGTTAGAGCTTTGCTATTAATGTTCTAAGGCTCTAGAACATCACCTCTCCTGCCCCTTAAATTCCTTAGGATTCACCTGAACCATTCTTGTCTTCCTAAACCCACACAAGAGGTGAACAACACATGCCCGCTTTTACCTATTAGAGTCTTACAAAGCAATAAACAAAGGTGTTTGCCTCCATGAATGCAAAATGTTGAGACAAAAGTTCCAGAGAAATTAAAGAATTCCAACCAGTATAATTCACACCTTCCTGTCTGTCCCACTTTCTAACTTCCAAAAACAGGAAAATGGCAAAAAATCACCAATCAAAGAAGCCCCTGTTGGGTCTTAAACCTCTCTATGGCACCTACTGACAAGTTCAAAGAGTGACTGCCTGCAGCCTTAGGTGGGTTTTAATTAACAGTAGCCAATCAATAATGTTTTACTGAGACTTTCCATCTTGGAAGGCTGGATAACAGGGACAGAGCAGCTGCACTGTGCAGTGGGTTTTACATGAACCATCCTGCAGACAAACACTCCCCTGTGCCAGCATCTCTAATATTCTGTAATATTCAACACACCAGCCTCTCTAATATTCTGTAATATTCAACACACCAGCCTCTCTAATATTCTGTAATATTCAACATACCAGCCTCTCTAATATTCTGTAGTTCTGTAATATTGAACACACCAGCCTCTCTAATATTTTGCTATTCTGTAATATTCCACACAGCAGCCTCTCCAATATTCTGTAATATTCAGCACACCAGCCTCTCTAATATTTTTAGTTCCTTGAGAACAGGGATTTGAAGCATTGCAAGCAAGACTACCCTAATGGGATAGAACAGGGCCTTTTAATCCCACAGACACTGTAATTTCAGGGAACACTGGTTTCTAATGTTTGGCTCAAAGCAGGTCAGAGAAAAAGCACCAGTGCTACAAAGGGCACCACAATGGATTTCCGAAGGTTTGGCAATTTCTGAGCCAAGGTTTTATGTTTTGGTTTTGTTTCTAAAATGGAAGAAGCATTTCAGAGCACAAGTTCAGTGTTCACTGTGCCCTCAGACATGATCCTGGTGATAACAGATCACTCCCTTCCTGGTGATAAGGCCAGCAGTTCTCCAACCCAGTGCCACTGGTGCTGGGCTCAGACTGCATGGATTGAATCCATCTCCCCCTTGGCAAACTGCTTTGTTTGGTCTGCACAGCTAAAAAACATTCCACACCACTTGATTTTTTTTAATCTAAAAATTTGTTCTACTGTCTCAAGTTACGTTCTGTAAATAATAAGCAAGCCTGGTGAAATCCCAAAAGCTGCAGATTTGTCAAGCAGAGCGGGCAGCAGTGCCCACATCTGGCTCCCATTAGCCAGGCACTCAGCAGATCTGCTGATTCCTTTTTAATAAGCACACAAAAGCAATCCAAGGCAGGAATGGCACAGCAGGGAATGGTGCTGCTGGATGGAGGCACAAAGGGCAGGGAGAGGGTGTTGGGAGCTTGGGATGAACACTGCAGCCCTGCCCTGTGCTGAGCAGTTCACAGAATCCTTGGAATGCAGCTGCACAGTTTTAAGCAGAAGTTTTGTAATCGAACACATCACCAACCTGATGAAGGAAGTGGTCAGATAGCAGTGAGGATAATTATTGACCAACTTAGGTTGAGAAAACTCTCCAAGAGACATCCCATGCCTTCCAGCATCACCTGCCCTTGCTCCTTCACTCCATGTTCATCCACCCCACCAGGTTCTACCATCAGGTCTGCAGAGCACAGATCAGGATCTGTGATCCCTGCAGAACTGCATAAATACACTGTGGCTTTGAGAACAACTCTTACTTATCTCTGATGGTCTCCTGGACCTCAAAAGTTTCTCTGAAGTGTATCCCGAGTACCTTAAAACCAGTAAAAAATAAAATTTAGAAGGTCTCAAACTCTGTATATCAAAAGATGTTCTGCTAAAACAAACCATCCCTATTCTAAAATGATTTAGAAATTATTTACAAATTTACATCTTTCAGTTTCCTCAGTATCACACCCAGAATAATTTTTCATCATGATACAGCTTCAGGAAATGTAGCAACTTCTGAGAAAAACCAACATGGACAAAACCCCATGACCAACACAGTAATCACTGGATTTCATTTAAAATGTGTATCTGGGGGATTTCTCATCTGGGTGAGGGAACAGCAGTGGCAACAACAGATGTGTTCAAAAACCCAGCCTGAGCATGCACATCTCAAATCCTTCATTGTTATTTTGTTTTTTAAGTTAAGTTTTTTGATGTTTACATTTTTGTAACAGACTTTTTTATGCACTTCATGTAAATGACTTATTGTTTTGTATTTTTTTATGGAAGAAGAGGAATTTGATGGACTGTTGGTTTGTTTAGTGTCATTGGAGATGCAGCACTGTCATCCTCCTGTCCACTGTCACTTTTGGAAATCTATAAATGTTAGAGTCAGAAATTACTTGGTATAATGACTTTCAGCATGGCAATGATTTTTATCCCCTTGAAATAATTATAAAACAATCTTAATTCAAACAAAGGAAAATGACAGGTAATGTAAGACACAATTCAAAAGCTGCTGGTATTTTCAAGAAATAATAAAATCAAACTATTGCTGGCTCTGAAAAAAGTCTGCTTCCTAAATACAGGGAGTGCTTTGTCTGAGGAAGCTTCAGTGCATTTCAGACATGAAAAGTGACATGATCTGGTAAATTAAGGGCGGAATAATCTTTATTTTCCACCATAAAATCCACAAGTAAAATACCTGGTCCACTTGTTTGAGTTGCAGACCAGGCACACGATTTCCATGAAATGCAGAATGAGGACAGTGCTTGTGGCACACTGTGCAAAGAACACTTGGGAGTGCCAGAACCAATTAAATGCTGAACAATGTATGCCTTAAAAATGGAGCTGAAAACTCAGCCATGACAGAGACAAACTCAATGCTGCAGCCATAGCTTGAGAACACATGGATAACAAATGAAAACAAATGTGTGCCACTGGTAATGGGGTCTGTAGTGCACACTGCACCTCTGCACAGCACTAAAAATCCACTGTTCTCACAATTCTTTCCTCACAGATGCACTTAACTTCGTTTCATGTGCTGAAGCCATGTGATGAGCAGGAATATTCCCTGAATTCACTGAACAGAAGGGGAGAGACAGCAGGTTTTTGATGTGCCAGTTCTCAGCGCCTGAGAACATTCAATGCCTTGGGCCTAATTTCAGGAAAACATGTGGCAATCCAGATTCCCTATTCCCTGGTGATTCTACTGCTGCTCTGCTTCAAGGGGTCAGTGCAGTTGCCTCCCATCCTGTGCTGGACTTTGGGGTGCAGCCACTGATCCCAGAGATGCAGCAAAGCTCTGCCACAGGATGATGTGGAAACCCAGAATATTTCTATGTCTGCTCTGGGGTGCCCTGACCCCCAGGGCAGCACTGACTCTGACCCTCATTCATGGAGAAAGTTTCCCAGACTCCAAGATAAACTGGAACCCACAAAAGTGTAAAGTAGATTTTTAGTGTGCTGTGGA